GGCTTGGTGCTGTGCTTCCACAAGGACAGCAACAACCTGTGGGATTCCACAGAATATTCTGAGCTTTCCACAGGGCTGTGGTAAGAATTTTAAAATCCGCAAAATGAGTGTCAAAGCTAGTACATGCAACTCTGCCAAAGTTTTTCAGGTGATGGTAAACTACTAAACTGAATATGTATAAAGTCTGACAGTAGAATTGCAAAACATAACAGCAGGACTAAACAGCTAAAAGAATCTCCATTATCAGAGGCTGGGTTAGCAAACAGTGAAATAGCACTGCAACATTTCATTTTGATACTTCAAGTTTAGCATAATAGGAAAGCTTATGATAATCCAGACAATAATGTGAGTCTTGCAGATTTGTTACTCGATAGGTAATGAACAGCAGCATATACATATAAATCCCTGCCTTGCTGAGGTTGGCACTTCTAGAAGTAACATCCTAAAGCATCCAGTCTGTTGTGCTGGAGAAATACAAGAGTTAATTATCTTTTCAAAATCTAACCTTTTTGTGGTGGTGGTGTGAGAACTCAGAGCAGAAGCATATCAAATATGTTATCAAATCTCAAAAATTTAAACTCAGATAAGAAATAAAACAGCAGCAAAGCTAAGCTCCTGGTCAGCTTACTACTGATGGTATTGTTAAAAATGGGGTTTAACCTCTAATTTTAACTAAACATGAAGTTCCCTTTCAAACTTCCATACAACTACAACCAGCAAGGCTACAATTTTAAGTAAAACAGATGAAATGCAGAACAGTGAGCAATCCATACAGAAATAAACCACTTGGTTACATAAAGAAACACAAAACTCAAGCAAACCTAGCAGTCTGGGCTGGCCTCTATGTTTCTCTACACTCCCAACTGTAACGCTGTATATTTTAAGGACAACACACATATTGAAAAAAGGAAAACAAAATTCCCTAAAAAACTCTACAGCATTTATACAGATTGATTGATAGCTCTCCATATGTATTTTTTAATTTTTTTTTTAATATCACCTTCTTCTGTGGTGATTTCTGCAGACAGAAGGTCGCTATGGAAGAAATTTATTCATTTTGTAAACTTCACACTACCCCACTAAACTGCAGATATTATTTTTAGTTCTCCCTAGCACTAAGCAGAGAGGGAATCCAAGGCACAGTGCCAGGATGTAAACCCACTCCTTCTGAGCTGGCTTTAATCATGTTGCCTTGCTCCTACTCGGCTCCCATGTTTAGGTCAGCAAATTTTCTCAAGGCTAAATCTGAATATATGCACACATATACCATGGATAATCTGGGTGTGTTTCTTCATGAATAATTTAAATAGAAGTATGGTGTGCTACTCCTACTGAAAGGCTCACTTGATTTTCTTTTGGCAAGGTTCACCCAAAAAACTGCTGCTGAAGAAAAGCCAATATTTTGTGTCTATTTATAATGTAGTTGGTTTACAAAAAAAGTGTATCCTCTTTACAAGTTATTTTTTATACTGCTAAAGTTTGCAGTCATGCTGCACAGAAAATTGAGGCTCTCAGTGAGTACGACCACAAAGTCAGGCCAGAAGTGTTGTCTACAAAAGGGATACTTGTTTTAAATTGTTCTCCATAAAAAAAAGAAAAAGAAAAAAAAAATCTTGTACAGAAGCCTAAGCCAAATTTTACAGAAGGAGCAGTATTTTCCACAGAAAGCTCTCTTATCAGTTGTTATGGGATTTGCACATCAGAGCAACATTTTGGGATCTTAAATTATGTTCTTAGTTTTTTGTTTTTGTAGAGTACACTTACAGTAGTTTGTTTGGCAATTTTTGACCTAACTGCTTAATTGCCACAGAAGCACCATGACCCTGAGGGCAGTCTGGTATTTATTTCCATTGCCAAGTACAGCAGCAGGTCATACACACAATCTCTTCCTGTTCTAATTTGCACACAAGCAGGAATGAGTTTTTTCACCTCAGACTACCAAAGCTATAATTTTGCACGCTGTGACAGAGCTGGGGCAGGCAGGAATTGTAGACCTTTGCATTTGTATGGCACCTGAAGGTCAAACATCAGCTTTCAGCATAGGCTTTAGCTGGAGTTGGTGTGATGCTTCATTTCTGCCCTTCAGCCAAGCAGCAAGCAAGCAACTGGTTCCTCCCCAGCAAAGACAGCACTGTTAAATATACATTAGCCTACTCTATTTTTATTTAGAAATGTTACCGTAACTTGAGATGGAGTTGTTAGGAATAATCAAGCCAAAGCCAGAAACAAACTATGAACAGGCACATAAAAATATGCTTCAACAAGTTAGCACTGCACGTCCTAGTCTTTCACTGCTCTGTTACTGAGTATTTACTCTATTTCAGAAATACTTAAGAACCCACAGACCACTGACTATTCCCAATGTTCCTGGGACATTGCTGCTTTTTGCCCTTTTGCTGAATTAACAAAACAGGAAACCCACATCTGTGTCACATAATACATGAAATATATTTAACATCAGCATTCTAAAAAAATAAATATTTATTTATCTTGCTAGGAAAACCAAAATCATGAACAGTCTGGAAGGCAGGCACTGCTATGCCCTGGAGGATAATATTCTGACTTCCCTCAACATGTTTTTCAATGCATCAAGGATCTCTAAACAGTGCTGTGCAGATCTACATGCTCCTGCCAAGAAGAGTAATGAAACAAAACATAACCCCAGTCACTTTAACAGAGCAAGATCTTTGTTGAGGTTTATCAACATACAAAAATGAACTTCTGAGATATACCTTAAAAGTCAGTTGCAATGGGAGAGGGAAAACCACAGAGCTAGGGATGGTAGAGCTGGAAAAAAGCCACACTTCTATGGTCTTTGTTTTATCTTACCCAACAGCTTCTACAAGTCTTTCACACTGGCTTTGAACAACACTCTCTTTCATGTTTGCATTTTAAATTTATTTAATCCTTGACAAAAGTGTCACGTGTCCAATACTGTAGAATCCTACCTATCTTCAGCAGTTCCAGAGATACAGAAGAAAATCCTCACCATATTACCCTTCCAAATTTCTAGACAATATTATTTTTAAAAGCCTGTCTAATATCAAATACATAAAATGATTTTAAAAAGGAAAGTTATGGATTCCATGAGAAAGCAACCAGATCTGAACAGAGATGAAGAAAACTTACTACTACAAGTAGCTTATGAAGTCAGTAAATGTGGTTGAATAGATACAATTTCTCCAAAGCATCAAGCAGAGTTTCTGAATAGCATTAGGGGTCTAATAAAAATTTAACAATGAAAAAAAAAGTGTTTCTTTTTTGCAGTGGTTCAACTGAAGTATTTTGCCACTCTTAAAATGATCCAAACTGAAAGGATCTGTACCACAACTACATAATTGTAAGCTCATGACATCTTTTTGAGGCTCTGAACAGAAAATTTGAGACATGTCATACATGTATTTACTATATGCCTTCAACCTTATCTATTCATGCTCTGACAGCCTTTGAGGTACATGTTGAAAGTTTTTGTTCAATTGACTCAAGTAAAACCACACAAAAGGACACAAAAACCATGTTTAGGCACTGCAGCTAAAGCCAAGATACAAAGCTTGATCTTGGGAAGGTAAAATGATACCTAATAGTCTTGCTGGTGCCAAGCTTTTCCTTCTTCTTCATCCAGAAAGAGTCTGCTAAGGGAGCAGTGGAAATCCTGGCAGCACCACTCTCTCCAGAAGAGGACCAAGTAATTAACTTCTCACTCTAAGTCCTAATTCCCTGCAGCAGGGAGAGGGGGTGGGGGGCTAAGCAGCCCATTTCTCCTCAGAGGGATGGCTTTAAGCAGGCTTTGCCTCAAACAGCAAGGCACAGTTGCTGCTCATTTCAAGCGGGGTGGCTGCTACAGAGAGGCAGAGGCAAGAAAGAGAGAGAGGCTTGAGACAACCATAGGCTTTGCACTGGTAGAGAGTGACTGCATTCAGAATAAAAATTAACTGGATTTTTCAAGATACATAATTAACTTTTATAAAATATAAAACTTAAGACTCTAATTAATCGGCTGCAATGAGCCCCTTCAGTCAAATGTGGTTTTTTTGCTTGTGTGGGTTTTTATGTTCTTTTCTCTGAAGTGTTAAATAACCTATCAGAACTAAACCCATCCAGCACAAACACGTTTAACTTTGACCAATGCCAAGGGGAAGACTGAAATAACAGAGTAATTTCAGACCTACGGGACCATCAAGAATATTTACTTGCCCATCTCACTGATCTACCAGATGTCACCTGATTAGAACACTTGAAAAGGAGTAAAAAACCTCAACATGTTCATAGATGAAAACAGGCATGTCCAAAACTTATGCGTGTTCTCTGGTACTCAAAACAAATCCCAAAATAGGAAGTCACATAGTTCATGCATCCCTGGTGTAACCACTTCCATATTTTTATCCTGCCCTGTGACATTCAGTATTGTCTTTTTATACTTTGACCTCTCCAGGGACAATACAGTTGTTTGTCAAATGATCTATCTTGCATTGGTGATGCTCTATTTTGGAACCCATGTAACTGCATATGGTCTTGATGTATGTATTTGTCAGAATGAAAGGTGGCAGATACTGTATTACAGGCGATAGAGAACAGGAAAGCACAGGGCCTATTTCTGAATTAAATCACTTCACTTTGCTGCCTTAAATTTGGTTTTCAGCAGCCCTGGAAACACCACATTATTTAATGACCTCTGCAAGTAGATTTTCACCCTTGAAGGTCTTGCAGGTCTTTTTATCTCCCTGTGGTCTCCAAAGTTGCCTCAGAACAGCGCATAATACAAATGTGGAAGATGTCACAGTTTGCATACGTGACAAAAGCCACATTGGAAATAAACTCCTCCTTGTCCCTGCTCTTGAAATGGTATCTGAAACCACAAAGGAAACAAAACCAGGTGGCAGAGGACAGCTGGTACCACAAGGGGACCATGCCAATGCTGCTGAAAATCTGCATGACCTACAGAGCAGACAGCAATCTCTGAACTGGTCCCAATTCACTGCGGTATTTATTCACCACTTTACCTCAGAGAAACTCAAGATGTTCAGGGAGCTCCAAATGGGGAAGATCGATGGAAGAGATCCAAGGAACAGTGAGCTGTGCACACCAAACCTTAGCAAAGAGCAGAGATTGATAGGCATCAGGAACACCACTATTTCATAATGGCTGTTCAGAAATTAAATCTTCTCCAGAATTCACTTTTATAAATAACCACCTTCAAGCATCTTGGTCAGAGATTTCCATCACCCCTAAAAATCAGACTCTCCTTGTTGCCAAGACACACATATGCTAGTTAAATATTTTTAAAGTCAGATTTTTATTTAATTGTTTTCAAAAGAAACTGCCTCTACACTGACAGACAGGATCAAAAAAAAAACCAAAAAAAACAACCTAGAAACAAATAATCAGAAGAGAAGCCTTGATTTGGTATTCTCAGATACACACAGTCTCCTTTCTTTAAGACAGCCCTATCCTCTCCTAAACATTGGCCAGGAATAAAAAGGCTACATATCACCGTTTAGAAACACTCAACAATTTTATTATTTATTCTGTTTGAGACGTAGGAAAAAAACTATTATGGGAAGGATGTTCAAAACCAAAATTTAAAGATAACTTTACAATCTTAAAATTAAAAGTACTCTCATTTTCAGAAAAAAAAGTGCCAAATCTATTAAGGAAATCAAAAATGAAACCTTAAGCTCTCAACTTTCAGTTTCAAAAAAGGGAGTGTAAGACTTTTCATCTGAGGCTGTATAGCCCATGCAAGCTAGGGATAATAAGGCTGCTCACCAAACAATTCTGCATTCATTGCAAGTCTTTAATATCCATGCTTTGTTCTGAGTCATTGCTTTTCAGTTTCTCAACCCATGAATGAAATTCTGACCCACACAAACTTAGAAAACGTTCATTTTTTTGGTCCCTCCAAGACTTGTTTTCCTGGTAAAAACTGAGACAACCTATCTTTCTCATGGAAAATCCTTCCTCTGCAACCAAATTGTGCTACCAACCAAATGTCAGCTCTCCCATTTGCTACAGAATCCTTCAAAACCTAGAGCATATCTGTTTTGTCAGGTCTGTTATACCTATTCAAAACACATCTTATCAGACAACTCAACCGGTGCAATACCTTAATATGAATTTTAACAATGCTGTATGTATGTACTTCCTACACCTTGACTTTACTGCCATTAAGCTCACGCTCCTATATCACATAATAATCAAAGGACAACAGAAATATGCATGTAAACTTGACAAACTTAGTTCTTCAAACATTTCTTACTTACATTCTTCAGTAAGAAACTTTATGTAACATGATATTCATACAGCATAAAAACCTCCTTTGACTAGACTTTGAACTGATGCCTTGCTTTTCCAGAACAATTGTCTTACGTCCTTGCTTTACTGAAACACATAATTCAACAGAAAAGAAACACATTCTTGGAATAGACAAGTGTCTCTGACAAGTGGGCTGTCTCTGGCTCTTGTCTCTAAGTTTCCACCTCTCCAGTTTTTATCACCGCTTTACACTGTCACCAAAAGGCTCCATTACTTCTGCTTCACCTTGAGAAAGCCTAGACCCTTAACACAGCTACAGATTATAGCCACAAGAGCTAAATTCAACTGAGGTCTGGCCACCTGAACATCTTTTTTTCCATAGCCATTGACAGAAGTTGAAACCTTATAACAATACATTTTCATCATGCTTATAAGTTTGAGAAGAGAAAACCAAAATGCATGAAATGAGTTCTTACTTAACCAGAGGAAACAACTATTTTCACTAATAAGAGTCAAGTAAAGTATAATTTGATTTAGGATGCCAGTTCAGGTTAAAAAAAAACATCCTCTCAAAACAGGCTTATTCATGTTTCAAGCAGGAAACATACAATCTAGATCAGCATGATAATAATAAAAAAAAAAAAAACTGCAGAAAGAGATTATACCATAAACCTCTTCCCCAGAGAATAGGGAACTCAAGGCAATTGTCAAACTGCATTGATTGTCCCACACAATTAAAATCTGGTTTACAGAATACAATCAGTCCTTAATAATAAAAATGTGTCAAAGTTAAGCTTAAAAATACTAAGTAAACAGCCTTTTCTCAGTGGCTGCAAGAAGGGTATGCCTGCCATATTTATAAATTCTAACATTTGGGTTAAAAAAAAAAAAAATTCTGTTCCCAGGATTGTAAAGAAAATCTGTCAAATATAAAATGAGACAATGCCATCATTTGATGTCTACATACAGTCTGGGCATACTTGATAATTCTCATATGACAGCAGCACAAAATAACAAATCTCTGACTGCTACTCAGAAACTACCAGGCAACACTAAATGGACAACTACCCTTATCCACTTCTGCTGGCTACTACTTTGGACAGTTACAAGAAGCAGCAAATACTGCAGTAAGTTCCGAGGGAGGAAAAAAAAGGGCAAACATTTCTGTTCCCATCTCCACCAGTCAATCTGAATGGCTTCAGATGCCTCCCACTGTAATTAAACAGCAAAAGAAAGAGACACATACCCACACTGCCCCTCCAAAAAATGTATCTTAGCATCCACTGTCATGCCAACAAGCTCTGGGTTTGACACTCTGCCAAAGTACTGCTCCAGAACAGGAGTCACCCCACTGGCTCCTACTTCTCAGCTCTGCCTAAAATTTTCAGGCTTTCAAATAAAATATGAAGGTGTTTCATTCTACTAGCTCATTCTCTCATTTTTCTCCAGTCACAGCAAATAATATTAAAAGATGTTATCTTCCCACCTGATGTCATCAGAGCACATATTACATTGGCTTTTCACCGGCCATCTGGTAAAGAAATTTGCAGAGAATGGCAAGAGGCAGTGCTTTTTTCTATGAATACCAGCCCTTTTTGTGATCATAGGGAATGCATGTGCAGCCTAAACCTTGTGCAGTACAGCTGGTGGACAAAGCTACAGGCTTGAAGCCAAAACTTTCACTCTCAGTACATTATTTTTTGAATTATCATGGTAACACTAGTTCCTAGAAAGTAAATCATTAACCTCTCACTTTTATAATTAACATCCACTTATGGCTAGCTGTCTTCTAACTCAGAGACCCCAAGACACCTCCTGTACCTTTCCTTCATTCCAGAGCTACTTAGCATGCTGCTGAACTTAATACTGCCAAAGTGGACAATACCATGGCTTTGCCCTGGTGAATCTGAAGTCAGCATAACTTCCACAGAATCATAGAATGGTTTGGCTTGGAAGAGGTCTTAAAGACCAGCTAATTCCACGCCCACTGCCAGGGAACACCTTCCACTAGACCAGGTCACTCAAAGCCCTAACCAAACTTGAACAATTCCAGGGATGGAGTATCCACAATTTCTCTGGAAATTACCTTCTCTAGAATTTCTGCAAAGGCTATCTGACCCTTCCCCTTCTTAGCCACTCACTGATACCAGGTGCCTCCAACCCACCTGCCTTGATGTAAACAGTCATTAGGGTTGCAAATTAGGGAAGCAGTTTGGAAATACTCCAGAGAAGGTAAGGGAAAAGCAAGCTTAACACAAGTCAATTCCCAGATCCTGTTTGCTGTATGGCTGCACAAACAGTTGTGCTGCCACGAGGACAAAGCTGAGAGAAAGAAACAAGGGATTGAGGCTTGAAGAGGACAGGATCACTTTTCTCAGTAGCAGTGCCAGCTTAGGCTGGCTCAAAGTCACTATAGCCGAAGATGGAAAATGAGATTGTCTGAAAATAACAGCTGTGAAAAATACTTTCTAAGTTACTACACAACATGAGCCTCATATAACCACTATGAAACAGAAGTGTGTAAAGAACTTGAAAGCATGCAAGGACAGCATCAATTCTATAATAAATAATTAAGAGCTTAGAAAGAAGACTTTCAGAGCTAGTGCCACTTGACTTTACCCACTCAGGATTAAGCTTTAGCACAGACCAACAGCTAGATACCCGCACAGGCTTAACCAAGCCTGGGCAAATTGATAACAAGACTCAGGGTGGGGGGCAGGAAGGTGGGGGTGAGAATTCATCTTTTCCTTTTGGTACCTTAATAAAACCTGCCTGTTAATCAGACACTTGTGAATCACATCGCTAGCTCTGCATTTACTACCCTCACTGTAGTTCAAAATCATGTGCTGAGTAACGCTCCTGGGATATATTCTTTATTAATGATAACAAAATTTAAAAAAATCTTAACAACTATAACTAAGAATTGAACAAGACACATTCACACTAACAACTTCTTTTAATAGGAAGACTTTACCTACAGTATCAGTTTGATTTAATTCAATGCACATACTTTCCCCCATGAGGAAAGAAGGAAAGACATGGATAGAGCTGTAGTCAGAAACAGCCTTCCAAATGTAAATTTATGTAGTACTTTACACATTCACTGGAGTACTAGGGATTCACTATCTTAAAGCAAGATTGTTTTACAAACTCATGGTACCAGTACAGACCTACCCCAGAAATAAATTTGATCAGCATCTTCTGCCAACAGCATGAACCTTAGTTTGCCTCAGTCCATACTGCCAAACTCCTAAAAGGACATTTGGGCTCCTCCCCGGCCAGAAAATGATCCCCTCCACGCTCTTGCTGCATGCTCTCCTGGCAGAGTAGAACCCACAGCAGTTGCCAACAAGTTAAGCACAGTTACCTCCACTTGGGATACTGCCTGCCCTTAAGCCACAGCTACAAATGCAATCTAGATGCCTCCATGCTCTCTCTGGAAGTTTGCTGCCTCAAATAAAAGGGTTAATATACCGAGAAGTTTTCAGTAGTTTTCTTAATATTTCCTACCTTCCCCATTTAAGAAAACCCAAACAAACAAAGAAACCCTAGGAGCTGTTCAGTACATGCAGTAAGTCAGGTAACTTCCAACTGCAAGAGTCCTTCCTCCAGTTTGTGAAAGCTGAGGAGAAGGTATTCTGACTTACTCAACCAAAGGACTGTTATCAAAAGGCCTTTTTCTTGCTGGCATCTTGCTAAATTGATTATCCAACCGACTTGTCCACCCATTATTGCTCACATACACTAAATCAGAAAGAAGTCTGCTGCACATTTGATGTGTTAGGCAAAGCCGGCTAGATAGTCAGGAAAACACAATCTTACTGTTAGGTCTTTTTTTCCAGTTGGCACTTTATCAAAAATGTCCCCACCCAAACCTAGCCTTGCTGTAGCACTACTGCATATGCCTGAGCACGGCCAGGTGTCCTTAGCGTGACCCGTGAGCACGACAGGACCCGCTGGTCACGAACGATCGCTTCTGTACCACGGGGGTCTGAGGAAAAGCACCATCCCCCGCTATTCCATTCCCGCCCGGCACTGACAGCACCGCTGGGACGCTTTAATACAAATCCTGCCTCCTGATCGTAGAGCAAACCGTGCCCTTGCCACTGAGCTGCTGCAGGATGCGAGGCCTCCCCACGGAGGGTGGCCCGGGAAGAAAGGGGCTCCATGTCGCCGGGCACTGCGTTCCGCAGAGGCTGATACCCCGGCCTGGCAGGGGCTGGCAATGCACCCCATGGCCAGGCAGGGCTCTGTGTCCCCACCACCCCCTCTTTCCGCGGAACCCAAGGGCGCTGCAGCCGCCTGAGCTGGAGGGGCACACCGGGACGAGTCCGGCGGGCACGGCCGGCCCCGGGCGGGCTCCCCCGCGCCCCGGGTGGGCGTGCGGAGGTTGCGGTCCCGCAGCGCCCCGCAAGCAGCACCCTGCCCCGCCCGGGCACACCGGCCCCTCCACGGCTGCGGAGCGCCTGGGGTCCCGTCCGGCCAGGAGAGGAGAGGAGCCAAGCGGGGAGATCCCGGGGAGCGCCCCCGCCCCCTACCCCCACTCGCCTGGTTGGGGTCGGTGGCCCGGAAGACGTGGCAGGCCATAGGGGAGTCAGGGTTGTCGGGCTGCGCCTTGATCAGGTAGGCGAAGTAGGTGAGGTCGTGGCTGTTGTGGATGAAGCGGGCGATGTGCTGCGCCTTGTGCTCGAAGATGAAGACGGCGGGCGCGGGGCTGGCGGGGCGGCCGGGGCCGGCGGGGCCGGGGCCGGCGGGCACGCAGCGCAGCGTGGGCGAGCCCAGCAGCAGCAGCACCTCGCGGGCCGGCACCCCGCTGCCCGGGGCGCCGCAGGGCTCCTGCCGCTGGCCGCGGCGGCGGATCTCGGCCACCAGCCATGGCAGCATGGGCAGCGTGGTCCGCCTATCCAGGCACGACGAGCCCACGTACCACAACCTGAAGCGCTTCTCCCCCGGCGGCGCCGGCTGCGGCTCGGGCTCGGGCTCCAGGGGGTGGGAGAGCGGCTCGCCCTCCCCTCGCTTCTCCATGGCTGGTGTCGGGCGCAGGACGCGGGGCTCCGCGGCCGCTTCCCCCGGCGCCAGGTGCAGCCGGCGGGGCCTGCGCTCGGCCGGGGCCGCCGCTAAACGCGCATCCCGCCGGGCACGTCCCCGCCGCCGCGCCGCCTCCTGCCTGCCCACGCGGGGTCAGCCCGCGGGGCGGGGAAGGACGGCCGAGACACCCCACTCCTCCTCCTCCTCCTCAACGCCCCGGGGCGGAGCGGCGGGGCTACGCCCCGAGCGGGCTCCGAGACCTGGCCACCCCCGGCTCAGGGGCGGGACAGCCCCGCCAAGCCGGGCCCCAAAGGAAAACACAACGTGCGCTCCGCTCCCGGTTCTCCCGTATGCTGCCGGCCTCCCTGCGGCCGCGGGCGCTGGGCTTTGCCTGCGGCTCGCAGCGTGGCTGGCCGTGAAGGGAGAGGCAGGAGGAGGAGATCCGCAAGGGGAGGAAGGTCGCCGAACGGCGGAGAGGAGGAGGTGGGGAGGCTGCCGGGCCCGCCCCCGCGCCCCGTTCGCAGAAGCTCCCGAGCGCTGTCTGAGTTGGTTTTGATTCAGACGAGTCAGGAGTCGCTGGGGAGAAGGGTCTCGACAAGGAGGGAGTCCCGGGGCACCTCCTGCCTGCGACAGCTTCCCTCCCACGGCCGCCTGTGCCCTGGCTGGTTCTCCCCTGCGAGGAGAAGCAGCCGCGCCGCAGCCGTGCCTACGGCAGCCTCCCCTGCGCACTGCTGAGTCAAGAGTTTAATTACGGCTGATTTTAACTCTCTTTTTTTTCCCCCTAAGCTTGTGCTTCCTCCTTGAGCTTTTAATCGGGGGGGGTTTCCTCATCGCTATCGCGATAACATCCCTTGTCAACGACAAATCCGCCACATAGTGTAGATGTTAGTAACTAGCCTCCTCCAGCTGAGAAAGTAGCTGGACAAGGCTTTGCCAGCCATACAGCATCAGTATCCTTTCGGTAATTGCCAATTGTAGCGACTGTCCCCCTGTTTCAATCTGTAGCAGCAGCGGTGGTAACTCTCAGTACACGTTGTTATGGCCACTATTTTAACCCTGCCTACAAATAAAAAAAATCTGTAGCTTGAGCTGAAGAGCTGCTCTGTGTAATTTGAGACTGCATGATTATTTGTGCAGAGAAGGGTCATGTAGCGCTCAGGTCACAGCCCACAGAGGTCTGAACTGACAAAAACTGTCGCATTTGCAGTATTTTCATACTATTACAAACCACTCTGCTCATTTCCTGAGCAAACAATTTTGCTCTTTTTTTTTTTTTTTGTTTCCCCAGTTTAACCATCTAGTTTATGCATTCTGGTTTATCGGTTGTAAATTTTAATTTAATATTGTTGTTTGGTAAGACCTCAAATATATATTCTCTCATGGCATCCTACAACCCTTAAGGGACATCCTACAATGTCCCTTAGGACAGAGGAGCTAATGCAAAAATCTTCTGCAGGCTGAATATGTTCATATGAATATGAACCATCTTTAATATGTACTACAGTGGTACAAGTCAAAGCCAGACTGGACTTGCTTTCCCAAACTGACTGTTTTCATACTCGATCATCTGAACTACATTGTTGTACAGTAGATTTTACAACCAGGGTAATTAGAAGCATAATGGCCAAACTTTGCCGATCACAAACCTAAAAAATGTCTTCTCCCTTACTCTGCAGTTAGTATTAATCCTTTGGCTGGGAATGGCATTTAAGATTTTGTGCAACAGTATTGCAGATTTGTGATGACAATCACAAATGACTATTTGTGAGCCTCTCACCAGCGCACCTGGAAGAAGAGCTATTTGCTTTCTGGCAGTGCTGGCACGGGTTTAATGCTGCAGTGAGCTGCTCCTTTTCTGCCAGTTCAGTTCTGTGAGCCGCCTCTAATTGAAGTGACAGCGCTTGTAGAGAGAGCGCAGTTGGCACAAAGGGAACGGGAATGACGGCTCAGGGTGAAGGGAGCAGCGAGGCTACTCGCCCCTTCTGGCTACGCTTGGTTAGACCATTCATCTAGAGCGTGAAGCTGCAGCTCAGTCACTTGAGCACAAAGACCGATTTAACCTACCTGGGAAGTGAACTGAACACTGAGCTTGCCCTAGAACAGAGGCAGAACCCCCTCATACATTCTTCTGCAATTGTTTCAGATGGGATAATCATTAAATTACTCCAATGAAGCAGCCTAAGGGGGAGGCTGCAACATACTGAATAGCTACAGCTGCTTACCAACACCATCTCTGGGACTACTAGATCCCTTCTGGTTTATGTTGGTATATTAACTACCAAAGCTACTTAGGCTTTTAGGTGCTATGGCAATAAATATTTAATAATAATCAGGAAACTTGAAGACAATCATGTAAACACATTAAAATAGCAAAAGAAATCTTTTAAGCTATTACAGGTGCCTTGGTGTTCTCACATCACACAAATGGAACAAGAAATCTTCCCTTGAAGATGTTACAGAGATGTATTTTCAGCTGATAAGGATGCAATTCAATTATTGCAAATTATCAGGTAGAAATGAAATTCTAAAATGTGAAAAATGAATGTGAAACTCTGCAATTGTCACCACTGTGCTTGTTTTGTAAAGCTATTTGGTTTTTCCTTCTGTTGGGCTATTTGCATAATATGGTATGATATCTGGTTATTTTGACTTAATTTTTATTACTGAATTCTTTATACAAATCCCTTAGAAGATTAAATTAATTTATATAAATGCTACCACTAATATTTTAAGTATCTTCAAATCAAATTCTCAGATGTTCATCCAAAGTTTTCTTGCTTTCTTTTTGCTTCAGCTTTTTACGTCTCTATGAATCGATTCTTCGTAGTAATCCCTTTTAGCTGTCCATTACTTTTATCCATTTACTTCATCATTTCTTATCCTTTAATCTGCCTAACATTTTTTATCCCCTCACCTCATTAACAGTGTTTCAGTAGGAAGTAATTTCTTTCGTTATGTAACTTTTCTTCTTAAAGTTGGTCCCCTCTTCTCATTTCTTTTCAGTTGTAAGATTTCATGTACCTTTAAGTTAAAAATTCCAATTTCTCTCATATTGAGAACAGTGCTCCTTAGTCCATGACATCAGACATGCCTCTCATGTAATTTCTAGTGTTTAAACTATAATGGTAACAAAAGTACCTTTCTCTAATTATTTGCACAATGTAGTTAGGAATTAGCATAAAATATGTAATCCTTATAGCACAGTTAATGGGAATCAAAAACTTTGGGACAGAGAAGAAAGCAACTTTCCACAGTCCTTATCCACAGAGCTTTGAAAATACATGTCTGTTCTTGATGAAAGAACAGTTTCACCCCAGATCATCCCAGACAGAAGTGTAAATGCAGCACCCATGCCAAAGACATGACAGATGAAGTCACTGGTGAGGAGCCACAGTTTTATTAACAATTCCTTTATTATTCCTTTACTATTATTATTATCATTAGCATTAGCTTTGGCCAAACTTCTTGAAACAATTGTAAAATCCAAAGGGACCACTCCATTGGAAGATCTGAAGTCCATAAAGTCCTATGGGCAATAATTGCCATAGCACGTGCTGCAAGTGAAACCAACCACAGACCCAATCAGGCTTTTTTGAATTGTTGATAACTTGCCATTGTTTTTTGTTCCAAACATAGACATAAGATGCAAAACCTCTTAAAGTAAGGGATATTACTGAAGTGTCCAAACACAGATAAAGGTAACTAAATGTAAGTGCCTCTAAACATTTTGGATTTGATATGCTTGTCAGTGGAGTACTACATGTATAGGTTATTTTTCCAAATAGAACAGAGAATGTATTTTCTTTCTGTTTATTAGAGGAAGTATGTTTAGTTCTCTAAGACCATACCTTGCTAATACATGCTTTTTCTGCACATGGCACCACAGCAGCCATTTCATATGTCATATCTGGGTCTCCAGTTCATACTCAGTGTTAAAGGATTTAGACCTGCAAAATGGTAAGCAACCACAGCTCTCAGTAACTTCTTAAGCAGCAAAGAGACCTCAGCATCTCACATGATCAGACTGTTAATTGCAAGTAATTATCCATCCCCTTAAGCTTTCTAACCACAATTTTAATTGCAGAAAAAATATTATTAGAGGAGCTGTAGGCTTGACTTTACAATCCCATAATTTATGCATAACTTCAGTCACCTTGGAATATTGTTTCAGTGATATGCCCTGAAGCTAGAATTGCTTCTGATTCAATTGCTTTTCTAAGAATGATCCCACTTAACTGTCTGGGAATTCAAGGTCCATTTCCATATTTACTTTATTGTTTTAGTTTAAACTAGTCATATTTTATTTTACTTTCAGATCACCTTTTTTTTCAGATCTGAGATACAGGCATTTTTACTTTAAAAACTATTTAATTAATTTAAACTACCTGGTCTTATTTGATGACTATAATGAAATAACTTCTGGAAATACAGTTAAAGTACTAGAAAGTTCAGTAGACTGGACATATTACCAGGGCTTTAAGCTTTAGCTGCTAGAGAAACTCTGGTGCCTCTTCTTTTAAAGTACATAAAAAACCTCACTTGAAATAATGAAAATTGTATATTTTGCAGGGTGTATAAAGATTACAATAGTTTGAAATGCAATGCCAAAGTTTTGAATAAGACATATTGGTCTTGCAGAGATATGTCAATAGCAGAGGACAATTGCTGCAATTTTTAAACAATAAAAAATGATGAAAAATTAATCTGATAAGAGGTGGGTTGGTTTTAGTGTTTTCTTCTTAAATGGCACTAATCTTTTTTGATAAAATGACAGACTGAATTTGTTCTGCCAACAAGACCCACTCCAAAACAGATTTAGGGGAACTGGAATGAACAAAGTTCATAAGAGAATAATCTCTAGCTAGAAATTAATAAACATCTCTAGCACTTAAAGCAACCTGGCACATTTTATGTCTGTGTTTAGTGTATTGTTATTCAATTGAATGTAGCACTGATTAAGAGAAACCATTCATTAAATTATTATACTTCTCTTCAAA